TCGTTTCTGTACATTCTTTCTTGTCCTTTTGTTAGAATATTTAAACATATTTTTTACCAACTCCCTTTTTAAACGGTTGTAAATTAAGGTTTATACTTCTTTTTTGAAAAGTAAACTAATTGTTGTGTACTGAATTAGTTTGTTTTGTTTTTGTTATAAAGCCACAAGAATTAGCTAAGAGATTTGTTTGTTTGTTTGTTTGAAGTTAAGCACAAAGCTACACAATAGGCTATCTGTGCTCTGCCCAACACGGGTATCGAAACCCGGTTTCTAGCGTTGTAAGTCCACAGACATACTGCTGTGCCACTGGGGAGCAGCTAAGAGAAATGTTCAGATTGTGTTATTTCACCCCTGGATTCCCTCGTGTCACTAAAATCCGACGTTCGATTCTTCGCAGTGGAAAGAATGCAGATAGTTCTTTGTGTAGTTGTGTGTGTTTTCTTAAAGCAAAGCCACATCGGGCTATCTGCTGTGTCCATCGAGGGGAATCGAACCCCTGATTTTAGCATTGTAAATCTGAAGACTTACCGCTGTCCCACAGGGGGACCCCTTGTGTAGTTATATATAAATGTGGCAGATATTTATTTTTAAAGGCAAAATTCATAGATTTTTTTCCCAACTGGGGCGTTAAGGGATAGTGATATCTCCTTTCGCCCCGCTGGTGTTAATTTTATATATCAACACTGGAAGTTGTTCTAAAATTAGAAGAGTTTAAAATTTATGCCAGAACTAGAGGAATTTAATAATTTTTAACTAGTATTAAGGATAAAATCAATAAGTTAATTAAGTTGGCATAGGGAAAGTCCGTGGGGTTAAAGGTTTGTTTTCAAGCGAATGTCGACATCAAAGCTCGACAACCCTTATTCAGGGTGGTGGGGGTCTGTAAATCCTTTGTCAGATAATTTACTGTGTATGTGTTGGGGGCGGGAGTACCCCGAGAAAACCCATTTTCTCTGATCGATCGCTAAATATTCTACCTGACCATTGTCCGAACTATGAACTTAAAAAAGGGGGGAGAAAGATTATGAATTACAATTATACATACGATGCCAAAAGAACGTCGTAAGTAAAACGGAAAGTAATTGTGTAGCTTTACACTTAAACAAAATACTTCCCTAGAAGTTGTCCCGTTGTCCGAACTATGAACTTAAAAAAGGGGGGAGAAAGATTATGAATTACAATTATACATACGATGCCAAAAGAACGTCGTAAGTAAAACGGAAAGTAATTGTGTAGCTTTACACTTAAACAAAATACTTCCCTAGATGTTGTCCCGTTGCAGGATTAAGATGTACTCATTACATTCGAAAGATCATTTTAAAATCACACACTGACTTACTTTTTTAATTTTTTTAGATTTTATTTGACCGACTTCGAAAGTTCAATGATCGTAGACGTATAACTATAACATAGCAATAATTTGCTAAGAAAAATACAATTATGAATACCTTTTATCATTCGAAGACTGAACTTATCTGACTTCGAAAGTTCAATGATCGTAGACGTATAACTATAACATAGCAATAATTTGCTAAGAAAAATACAATTATGAATACCTTTTATCATTCGAAGACTGAGCTTATCTTTTTTTCACTGAATGAGTGACCCAGATATAAAAAGAGAAAAATCTACGCGTTAGAATTTGTTTTGACTTAACTAAAAACAATCTCATCTTCGCATGCTAGTTTTTTTTAATTCTTTTAATATTTAAAAAATGGTTAACTTCATTTCATCCAGCAATGTTTCGTTGCTATCAGTGATGTTTTTAATGCATTTCGAGCGCAAGCCTTTCGTGTAAGTTTTTATATACTAGCTGAGGGTACCCGTTAAGGAAACAAAGACTGCTTAAAGGACAATGTTAAGTAATGTAATTACGGTAATCGAGGCAGTCAACTGGGGGTGATTGAAGCCAAAAGTCCCCCAAAAAAATGGAAGCATGCCCTACTTCAGAAGCTTTTTATTGTCATTTTTGGCCAAAACAAAATAGACCATGTACACCATCGAATAGTTTCCAGTTACCCTATAAAAAAATACGCTAATCGATCCAGCCAACCCTAGATAATGGATGTTAACATACAACAGACACAAACACTTAATGATCATCTTTAGAATATCGTTTTCAGCATTCATGGATTTACTTATTTCAAAGTATTCTCGAGGTTATTCTACGCAAGTTTGAAATAAACGAGTTTATTTTTATTTTCCACACACACAGGATAGGAAAATAAAGTGATAGGTCATCAGATATGACCTTTCTGTGATGTTAAGATTCTGTAATGATAAGAATTGACTTGTTAATGGTCCGTAATATTTTAACGTTAAATTGATACCGTTGTCTGCTCATTCTATCCATAATCACGGTTAGTTTCCTGTATATCTTGTATATTCTCAAACTTACATACTTAGTTCAAATAATCTTAATTACAATGAATTATTATAGGTAGTTTTGAAACTGTCCCGTTGATACATGAAAAACATATGAAAAGTCGAATATGTTTTGCTTTTTAGAGTTTTGTTTATTTATTGTAAAGCAATAGCTACACAATGAGCTATCTGTGTTCTACGTATCTGTCAAGTTTTTTACGTTATGTGTGGACAGGGTTCTTTACAATATGTGTCTGTAATGTGTTAGCGATAAATTTCAACAATAAACAAACAGCATAATGTCCAACTTGTTTTAAAATAATATATCAAAACAAGTCAAACGTATATACAAATGTTCGTTACACAGTCAATCATTACAGTGGTATCCAGAGCTTTAAATTATCATCTCTATTTGTCAAAAGTCCGCACAATTGATAAAACAAATTATTCTTCTCTACTCTGTTGTTACAATACAGCCTGCGATAATTTCACTTTACAAAACGTCACTTATGGCTAACTTACAAACACACAGTCTAGATCCACCTATCTATCTAACTTTGTCTTACTTCACGTACTTCCCTTTACTTTACTTCTCTTTCATTAACTAATTTGGTCGCATATATATATATATATATACATATATATATATATATACTGCCCGACTGAGGCCTAGAACTTTCTACAAGCTACGAAACATTATGATGTAACAATACTCAATGAAACAAAGAGAATAACTTAAAATGTTGTAGTAGCATGACGCAACAGTATCGCAGGTATAGAAATCAAATTTTTAGCGTTATAAGCCCTCAGATTGACTACAGAGCCACCACGAGGCCCTTTTAGGGAAGGGGTTAAATTGAAATCCTCAAAGATTTACAGTATTCTGTACATGCTTCCAAACTAACTGTTAGTTTTCAAATAGGATTTCTAAAAATGTAAAACTTTTAGTTTATTTCATTTGGCAACCCTAAAACTATCACATAACAGAGCACAAACTTATGAAACAGGAATTCGTAAGAGTAAAAATTACCTTGGTGGTAAGTAGGAAGACTGAGCGATTAAAACAAATAATTTTTCCCCCAAGGCTTTAATGGAGATCAAAGGTCAGATATTCAAGCCTTTCTCTTTCATTTTTGGTAGGTTATAGACAGTGGGCAGGTGTCCGTAGTTTGAAAAGTTTTTACTTTTACTCCTATTTCTAAAGCGGTATGGGACGAGTTGTCTTTGAAATTATAAGCCAGTTAGTCTTACTTGTGTATTGAGAAGAATTCAAGAAAGAGACTGATAAGAGTTAAATTTTTATATACTAAAAGGAAGCCAAAATGAATTCACCAAGGGAAAACTGTTTTTGTTTTTTACCTGGGCGAAGGAGATAGTGTGAACTTGTTGTACTTAGACTTTTAAAAAGCTTTTGATATGGTGCCACACAAAGGATTAGATAAAAAAATCACATCGGAAGTGATTAGGGAAAGACTAGTTAATTGGACTGTAGGGTGTTTATATGGGAGAAAGCAAGAGATTGTATTAACTGGACCCTTGTTACTAGTGAAGTACCTCGGGAGTCAGTTCTTTGGCTTTTCCTTTTTATCATTTAAATTAATGATATTGATAGGGACATAATTAGTGAATTACTATAACGTTAGCTTATGACTTTAAATCCTTGGGTATTGGGCATATTTAGGTACTGGAGAATGACTTGGATCAATTGGGATGTTGAACAAATATTTGGCAAATGTTATTTAGTTAAATTAAATCCAAAGTAGTGCATTTGGTTAGCATAACTTAGGTCAATAACAAAATAATTTTTGACAGCAAATTTATAAATTGAGAACTAGGATATATAGATAAGAACCCACTCATTAATGTGACTGAAGAAAATTGTCATGATCGTGGTTGTTAAGTTACTCAAGACATCAGAACAGCAGTCTATTGCTATTAGTAAAGGCAACATAATTTTAGGATATATTTATATACATAGTGATTACAAGTCAAAAAGGAAACTGTCTTTCCATACAAATCCCTAGCTAGGCCTCACTTACAATACTGAGTACAGTTTTGGTCTCCTTATTTAGAAATGATATTGATTTATAGAATGAACTTAGAGGAGGACTACCAGAATGGTTTCTGGGGCGGAAGGGTTATATTATATAGATTAAGATCTCTTAACTTGTGTTATCTTGAGAAAGGAAGGGTAATGAGGTTTCCTTAATCTCATCGAAGGTTACAAGATAATACGGAAGATCGGTATGATAAAAGTCTGTTTTTTTTATATTCTAAAACTCATAGGACAAAGAGACATAAGTTTAAGATTTGGGAAAAGACAAGTTTGGCTCCAATTAAAACAGTTTTATTTTTCTAACAGTTTTATCAAATTATGGAATCAGTTCATGTCGGTACTAGTGGAGGCCATTACTTTAAAGGAATTTAAGAGTGGAACCTATGAATTAATGAAAAATAAAGGGTGGATTGAAATTTTTATTTTTCTCAAGGGTGGGAGTGTAAGGACATCCTTGAAGAATCAAACGGTCCCTAATCGTCCTTATATTATATAAATATATATATATTTGTGTGGGTATGGTTGTAATGTGTATATTTTTATGTATATAGCAAAAATTATAAAGTTTCATAATTCTTACCATGTAGGTCCAAGTGGTATTGTAATCAACTCACAGAATCTTGCAAAAAAAATTTCCTTTCGGCACACTTCTAGTTTATTTTACATCGTAATTTTCTCTTTCACATTAAGCCTATCTTATGTTTTGCTAGTTTTGAGATTTCTTCTTTCTTAGATTCGTTCCTTTTTTTCGTTCTTACAAAGAAACAGCCAAATTATACTTTCTATCCCAATAACTTCAGAATAATTTTGATATCACTGTTTCAAAGTTATCTTGGCTAAAGGAAATCTTAGGTTAACCGCTCTTAGCACTGCAGCTTTCTATGCCTCACACCTATCATATCAACTATACTGCGATGTTCATTCTAGATCAATAAATGGACCGCTAGCTTTTTCACTGTTAGAACTGCTCATAGAGGGAGCAATGGACGTTCTGCACTCTTGGATAACGAGGACAATGTTACAATAACGTTTTGTTTCACACACGAAAGAGCATTATCACGTTAGGCATGTTGGTATGTAACTACCTATATATTTTTTAATAGATAAATACAATTTAAAAAAAGTCAAATATAAAACGATGTATATTAAAAACGCATTCAACTTGGAATAATGACGGTCGTTTGATTTTCTATTCTAGTACTTTTAACCTACTTTGGCTCAAGATAGGACGTCAGATTAATATTTTAACTGCCGATAAAAGTTATTTCATGATAAATGTATTGGATATCAGAAATGTTCAACAAATTTGTTATTTTAGAAATAAATCGTTAAGAATTATATGGGTGTTTCATATGTATCATTTGAAAATCGCCTATGTTTTAATAATAGTATGAGAAGCGATCGATATGTTATCCACAGTACAAAAAGTAAATGTTACCTGGTATATTAATTGAAAGATTAAGTTTGCTTGACTTATCAAATTGTTATAGATTATTTACATTTTTACAATATTATAGTTTTGGCTCGTTTGTTTTCCGGTACATCAAATATACATTTGTAATATCTTGTTTAAAAAATCCAAATGATAGTATTGAAGTACGTTACGTTAAAAGATGTAATGTTATATAATAATATGATATTACTTTTTTACAATACAATATGTGGATTTCTCTAGAAAAAGGCCCGACATGGTCAAGTGGTTAGGGCGTTCGACTCGCAATCTACCTTTCAGCCGTGGGGGCATTATAATGTGACGGTCAATCCCACTATTCGTTGGTAAAAGAGTAGCCCAAGAGTTGATTCAAGGTGTTATTGAAGTAAGCTAACTAAAATCTATTGGTTCAAGTTAACATTGAAATAAACTATCTAAAACCATTAGCTCTGGAAATAAGACATCAAAAACCATTTTTCGATTTGCTACTGAAGTAAGTTTTCTAAAACTATTGATTCAAATTCCCATTGAAATAAGCTATCTAAAAACTATTGATTCAAGTTAACGTTGAAGTAAACCACCTAAAAGCATTGATTCAAGTTAACATTGAAGCAAGCCACCTAAAAAACATTTGTTCAAGTTGCCGTCTGAAAAATGCTATATTCTGGTTGTCACTGAAGGTAATAATTGAAATTTTTTGTACTGATATTTTGCTGTATATGTTGAAATAGTTGGAATAGTTTTTAAGTTTATCATTATCCAATAGATGGAAGCACACGTAATAAAAAAAATGATTCAGTTTCACGTGAACAATGCATGACGAGAATCTTATGAAAATCCATCAGATCCATAACGCATTGATTGAATGTGTTGCTGAACAAGCCAATAATAACGTAGTTTTCAATCACACGATATCTCTACAACGCTATGGATAAACGCATTTTGGACCTGTAGAACAATATCAAAGTGTACTGACTCAACGCGTTGTCGAAATAGCCAATAAAACTATTATGAATCTTGTTTGGCTTTATATTTTGAGCAAATAATATATTGTTCAGCGTCGAGCGTTCGGCATTGCGTTGAACCAATACGTTATGGTCCCGATGGCTTGTCATATATAGGTGCTTCATCACATTATGTACGTTAAGAAGGACAATTACCTTTGTCCTTTAAAGCAAAATCTGGAACTAGAATTATTTGGGAGATGTATAATTATGAAATAACTTTTGATAACATCGTCAAAACGTAATCAGATCATTACCGTTTGAACTTTTTCTTAGTACCACAGAATCAATTTATTCACATGATTATTAAACATAAGTATAATGTTTATTTTACATTCTAAACCAATAGTGGTTCAGCTGTCATCGTGACGGCTTATATCGTTAAAATTCGGAGTTCAATCCTCACAGTAGGCATAGCATAGGTAGCCCAGCGTATAGCTTTGTGCTTAACAACGTTTAATTTATTTTTTGATGTCCTGAAGATGTCAGTAATGGATAATTGTTGAGAATATTATACTGTTGTCATAAACCTTTCCCTTATGTACGTTCACAATAATCACATATTGAAAATAAATTTCTCAGAACGTACGATAAAAAAAATTGTTCTATTTTTTTGTTGTTGTTTGTGACAAAATGATCATCTCGGTGTAAGTTCAATCATCATAGATAACGTAAATGTAGAAATGTTGATTTCCAAAATTATTTCCCATGAAATAAGAAGTATAGCAATTTTATAACCAGCATAACAAGAAATATATATAACTGACTGCAAAATTTAATTCTTACCAATGTTTCTGGACTAGTTATAACACTATCCAACATGTTTTAAACTGGAAAGAGACATGTATTTAATAAAATTTGCGTAAGATTGTATTTTCGTAGGAATGTTTCTGGCCTATTGAATAGCATATCTAACTGTGGTTTCAATGATCCAGAGTTCGAAACTTAATGCAACTAACATACTTTAAATTATGGGAGCGTTATAAAAGTGTCAGTCAATACCCTTAGTTGTTCCAAAAAGCCAGAAAAAAAATGATAGTGGCAGAGAATATCATTGCATGGCTACTTTCCTCTTGTCAGTAATTCAAAATTAAGGATGGCTTAACCTGAACCCTAGTGGTCTCTGCCCTGGCCCTTTTAACCAGTTGTGTATTTCTAAGTCAAAAAGAGTCATTTGCTTGTCAATTTACATTTTTAGGGTTTGATCAACTAATATATTTTGTTTTACATCTTCAGGTGTTTTTAGCAGGAAAACAGTAGTTTCTGTTTCCGTTCAACGTAAAATAACAAAACAAAATAATTCTAGCACTTGAGTTGGGTTTTATAGCACTACGTGGAACCAACGGAACACACAAGACACGTGTATGTAAATATTGACGTCACACTACGTCACTTGTAGTTTTAAATTCCTCGTGATCTCGCTCTTCGATCTTTGTAAAAATTGTACAGAAATAAGGTTTACAAAGTCATAAACTTGCAGCTTTCAATTATTGTGCGGTAAGAAAAACACATAAACAATAGTCACTAGTCATAAACATGATAATACAGGACTCCAGTAGCAAGAGATAAAACTGGACAAAAAATTTGTGACTAATACTTGTAGTAATTATATGAGATCGTTCATAAACATTACGCAGTTTCAGAGAAATGTATTTGTGTTTATATGTTTATATCACAATGCTTCCTCCGTAGTGTCAGTACGTGTTACACTAAGACCATATTTTAAACACCTATGTATAACACACAAAGCACTATTTTAGTCTCGCCTAACATGTCATATCGTTACCCATATTAGCATTGGTCTTATTATTAACAGAAGCTGAAAAGTGATAAAACCAACGCCACGGGTAATATATTTATGTTTAATATCTTCAACGATATTAAATTTTGCCATAAGTTCCATTTATAACAGCAGGATAGACTGAGCTGTGCACTGAGAAATATGCAATGTGTGTTTCATTCTAATTGTGAACCGTATCTAAGAAATGTCATATGTTTATATTACAATGCTTCCTCCGTAGTGTCAGTACATGTTACATTAAGAAAAGTTGTATTGTTATATCACAATGCTTCCTCCACAGTGTCAGTACGTGTTACACTAAGAAAAGTCGTATGTTTATATCACAATGCTTCCTCCGTAGTGTCAGTACGTGTTACACTAAGAAAAGTCGTATGTTTATATCACAATGCTTCCTCCGTAGTGTCAGTACGTGTTACACTAAGAAAAGTCGTATGTTTATATCACAATGCTTCCTCCGTAGTGTCAGTACGTGTTACATTAAGAAAAGTTGTATTGTTATATCACAATGCTTCCTCCGTAGTTTCAGTACGTGTTACATTAAGAAAAGTTGCATTGTTATATCACAATAATTCCTCCATAGTATCAGTACTAGTTACATCGAAGTTACTGCGTGATCCACAGCTTTCTTATTCCGTTTATTGTCATGAGACCAGTACGTCTGTGTTCCAAAGAGTTATGTACCGGCTCTTCTTGTCATAACCAGAAATATGTATCCAAGTGCGCACTGTCACTTTTTCCTTGCCACAATTTATCCCACTTTTATGTCTATCAGTATTTTTCTTTTGCTATTTCAAATACTGCATGAGATAATTTCTAATTAATCATCATTTTTCAAAATAACTAAATAAGAAGTATAGCGATTTTATTACCAGTATAAATTATTTCTCACGAAGTACAATCATGACAGATGACGAAAATGTAGAAATGTTTATTTTCAAAATTATTTCCCAAGAAATAAGAAGTATGACGATTTTATAACCAGCATATTTTCAAAGCAGGAATAGCATAATCATGAAGGCAAACTGTTTTCAAGTTTAATATGGATTTCCATAAACAAAAAAAAAATCACAATTTTGAAATATACTCGAGTGTGTGTGTTTTTTCATGTTTCTAGGAAACAGTTCGTTGGGTCCAAAGCCATAAAAATGAGTCTTTATTCAGAATTTCACAACATAAAAGCATGTCTAAACACTTTGCTTAAATATAATTTTTTTTCCTATTGTAGTTGAAAAGTCCTAAACTTACAGAAAAACACAAGAGGCTACAAAGAAGAAATCTATGTTTCGAATTCAAGCTTCTAACATAGAGCAAGGGCTCCCAAACTTTCTTGGCATAAGACCTCCCAGGATATTTTGCATCTCCACTGATGTGCTCCACCCATTGAATCTGTAGAGGTTAAGTACATTAATAGTACTGTTTCTTCTGTACATTTCCTACCCCCTCCCTCCCCTTCCACATCTGACACTCTCCTACTGCCACAGTTTGGGAGCCCTTGACATAAAAGGCTACGTTCGACAACTTCAGGGAAATTAGTGGAAACCACTCTTAACATCATGAAGCGTTGGCAAATTAACAAAAAATCGTATATAACTGAGAGGTCTTACGAAGCTGCCGTCCTATATATGTAATTATCATTACCAGCGTTTATTCCCTTGATTAACTTAATATGCCTTTCCTTTATTAAGAGTTGTATGTCTTAGTTTACTTACAAGGTACTCAAAACTTAAAGAAATTGATATTAATTCTGCTGAAATTCCATAAAAATAACTAATTTCAGATAAAGGTAGTTGACTTCATCAATAGTAAAATTGGGTAATATTAATCATAATTCAGTCCAGTGAGGTAATTTGATCATAATGTCATATATTTAACCATAAATCACTAAAGTCAAAAATGAAATAACCAACGCATCTTAATGTTTTCCAAAGAAATTCCAGTTTGCATTATTTATTTATTAGTTAACGTTCAAAGTTAGCAAATGGTCAAATATTTGATATTATAAGTATAAGCCACTCTTTAGTGTATTATCCTTAGTATATGGAGTTACTATATAATATATCATTTGTATACATTTGCACGTTTCAAGTTATACACAGTAAAACATTTAGGCATTGTGTGTGTGTGTGCGCGCAGCTTTAACAATCCTGTTTTGCAGTGGTCGATAATAATATATTTTTGTCAGAAAATGTTTAAATTGAGAATTTGAATACTTAGTACATTATCCTAACCACTCCTTAAAAGCTTCTGCTCCTTTTTCTGTCACCTCTTCAACACCGCTTTCCGTTATGACAGTGCCATCTTTCTTCAAGATGATAAAAGTTGGAATTCCGTCTACGGCGAACTTCTCGGAAAGCTTACTGGAACGAAACGTGGAAGCAAACAGAACTTTTTATTACTATATTTTGGAAATTTTATCCCCTTTTAAAAACAAACTTAATTCGAAGGTAGTTCAAGTCCTTATGGGAAAAATAATATTCGCAAGTGTCATTTTATTATTCTTACGAACAGTGTTCTCTGTTCGTCGGAAGCAGAGGCCCTCAAGTGGCACAGCGGTTTGTCTGCGGACTGACAACTTTAGAAACCGGGTTTCGATACCCGTGGTGGGCAGAGCACAGATAGCCCATTGTGTAGCTTTGTGCTTAATTCCAAACAAACGGAAGCAGAGTTTCAAGAATCTCCATTCCCCACACTTGTCTGATAGCAACGAGCTTTACGACTGAAGAGTTAATCTTTGCACTGAACATATACAATATTCATGAAATAATTACCGTTATTATGGAATTCAATGAGAAAATGTTAAAGTTGAATTACGGTGTTGGTCGTTAAAGTAATGGGAAATTGCTTGCCCCTGAATCATCAAATTATCCCCACCCCTTCCCTGCAGATGAAAAAATTCTAGATGCGGCTTGTCTAAGGCAAAAAATATATGTTACTATTAGGTGGTGAAGGTGCTGGTAAAAGCTATTATTAATATATCTGCCCTGTAAAAAATAAAAATAAACTACTGTGAAATAATAATAGTAACGAAAATAAAATTAATTACTGATAGTAGTTATCGGGCTCAAAGGAGTAGCCTCAGTGGAGGTCATCGGTGTGAACATAATTTTAAATATTTCACTCCTACAAAGCATCGTTTGATGGCGGAATGTCACGTGACCTATGAAGTTTCACAAAGTAGCGTCATAGAGAGGACAGTTCCACAGATAGTCACCAGAAGCAGATAGTTCTATAGAGTACCTCAAGAGGGCACCTCAGAAAGTAGAATCAACCAATGTCGACGTCTTCCAGCTTGTGATTACTTTATAAATGTTTCAAACACAGATATTAGTTCTGCATTATCCTTAGAGTCAACTTTATATTTTCTGTTCAACATCTATTTATTCAATAATATAAAAGCGGTTAGGTAGGTAAAATTCTTATTTTATGTTTCACTTGTTACATTTTGGCTATTTGTATAGTGCAATTCACGGTTTATACATAGGATTATATACTAAATTAAGTACAATCTATGTAGTCCTGAAAATGACTGTTTTTCATCTTCACTTAAAACATTCACGATCTATGATCTATGTATATGACATGTATTACCTATAAAAACATTTTACACTAACAGGAAACAACACATACGTCCAAACTAGGAATGCACGGGTACCTGACCGAATGTCGAAGTTAAAAACAGCCGAATCCGGGTAATTGAAAATGGCATTTAAGCCCTAATCTTTGTGGCAACTAACGCGGTACTGTAAGTTACAGCCAATAATAGGTTTAGTTTTTTTTAAAAAAAACGTGTTTCCAAGCAACAAAGATTGACTGCCCGCTGGAAGTCAGGGGTTCAGAGAACAATAGGGTTAATAACATGCATGGCTTGAGAAGTGGATTTCTGGGTAAGGTGTGAGTTTTGAGAAGTTGGGGCTAGGCATTAATTGGCATAATTATTCTAAAACGTGTCAACATTGCTGTTTCTGCGTTTACTTTCACTGGTCTCATAAATCGGACGCAGTTGGTAAGTAATTTTCAATTTTTCTATCTCAATAAAAATTAAATTTCAAAGTTGTCAGTTTCGTTAGTTTTCCATATATTGCTGTTTCAACTCAAATCATCACCGCTTCTCGCTGTCGTGTAAAGTTTAATTTTACATTGTTTTAGTCAAAAACTTATTGTAACTTGCTATTTTAGTCATTTTTCATTCCAATGGTAAACATGACCAGCTTGGTCTGGAAATATTTTGTGTTGGAAAACAAGGCGGATCGTTTCGCAAGGTGCACTCTTTGTTCCACCATGATATGTAGGGGTGGCACGTTACCCAAGACGTTTGGAATCAAATCGCTGAGAAATCTTCATTTCATAAAGACGAATTCGCAACCATGCAGAGCGACGAAAACGAGAACAAGAAGAGAAAACGTGACGACGAAGATGCCGCTGCTGAAAATTCGATGGCCAAGAGGAATAAAACGCAAACTCTCGAGCAATGCGTCGTTGATTACTCATGTCATTCGGTTAATTGTAATAAACGTCAACATTGTTTTTGTTCCTAATTTTTGTGTATATTGTTTAGTTTTTGTTGTTTTGGGGGGAGGGAGAACCCGGCCCCGGAAGTAACACTTTAAAAAACATATTTTCTTTAGATATAAGTCAATTAAAATTATTCAATATTCACGACTTCTGCTTTTACTAAACACTGTGTTTCTGTGGACCGTTTCGATTCACTTTGACATACAAGTACAATGCACTAAATCTTACCAGACTGATACTGTGTAGAAAACTTATTCAAATAGCACTCTGACTTGTGACTTAGAATAAGCATGGGGTCGTTGTCATTCATAAGTTATTCCAGGAACAGTAACACAATGAGAATACAAAACAAAGTCTTGTTTTACGTTAATGTTTTTTTACACAATAATAGTTCCCAACTGACAATGAATAAGACAAAAAAGTTTTATATTATTACTTATGTTAAATTTTGTTCCTCGTATACACTTTCATTTTATGTTAAAATCTACGCGAACCATATGCTTTAATTTTTCATTTATGTATGTTCTACATTTGTTTATACAGAAAAACATTAGTGTAAACTAGGCCTTGTATATTTGTGGAGTCTCTATTTCTGGAATAATTTATTAGTGACAACGTCCCACTGATAATTATAAGCCAATGGTCAGAGCGTCATTTGGAGAAAGTTTGTACATAGTACTAATCTAATGATATATAATGCTTTGTACGTGTATTTCAGAATGAATCAAAATGTACTATAGAAACATAATGTTTTAAAACAAAAGTTATAAATGTTGGGCTTTATAGATATTAACAACACTGAATGCAAATTAAAAGAGTTATATTGCGATTAAAAAATCTATTTTTATTTGGATATATATATATATAGTCTTTAGATAATGCAAAATGGTTTTATGGTTTATATATCTAGAGCTCGAACGGTTTAAGATAACATGAAAAACAGCCATTTTCGGGACAACCTAGATTGTAAGGTAAATTAGTATATGGATAATCACATGTCTAAGCCGTGAATTGCACTATACAAATAGCCAACCTGTAATAAATGAAACATAAAATATTAATCTAAGTATTACAAACTTTGCTTATTACTAAATAAATGGGCATTGAAATATAAAATTGACTATAGCAATAATAATCTGTGCCTGAAACTTTTGCAATCGAAGTTAAAGTTCATTATAACATACTTGCAAGTTGAAACAGGTCAAATATGTTGATTCCAGCTTCTGGGGTGTCCTTTGGCGGTACTGTATAGAAATATTCTCTCTAAATACCACTTATGGAACTATCTGTACTCTTGCGGCACTCTGTGGAACTATCAAGCCTCTTTCACTACTTTGAGGAAGTATGACTTCTCAGATCACGTGACCTCCCGCCATCAAAGGAAATCCCACTGTGCGGCAGCCTTTGATTTCCTCACCCCACCCACACACACACACACTGAGGCTGCTCCTTTGTGCAGTATACAAGCTACACTACTGCTGTTCAACCAATGCCTTGACCAATAAAGTACTGTATCAGAAAAAAACCTGATTACTTACGTAGAAACATCACCATCAAATTGAACAGCAAGCCAATCACCGTGGCTCTCCTCCATATAACTGAACATATCGTCTTCGCTTTGATCAGATGAAACAAAGACGACTTCAAAAGGAGCATTTTCATTCCTCAGTTCACCGTAAAGCTCTGTCAATATAGGTGTGAACGCGCGACAAGGAGGGCACCAGTGAGCACTGAAATAAAACCCTATAATCTCCTTGTCCTGAAGAATCTCGTCGGCATCCACTTCACTCTTGTCTTTCTTGAATAGTTTCTGGCCTTGAATTATATCCATTTTGCTGAAAAACTAACAACAAATAATAAGTGTTGGAAATATAGCAACATATCACAAAAACAAAAATATGCTCCAAAACAGTGTTTCTCAAACTGGGGTCCCGACCCAAAAGTACTGGGTTGTGATATCCTAAAAAATATTGCGATAATGGATATTTTAGAGTATGTTTCATCCATAAATATCAAACTAGAGAAACCAGATATCATGCGAGAATGACTTGTTTTTCCTTTTTATACAGCAGTATTTTACTGACTAAAATTTATCATAATACACCAGAGGGTGCTGTTCAAGAATGTGGTTAGATTTGGAAAATAAAATGTTTTCAAGATGCATAATCTTTTGCCCAAAAAACAGTTTAAAGAAATTTCAGTAATAAAGTATAGGACCAGCAATTCTCAATGTTTATCGTGAAGACTTATTTGTTCTTTCTAAAAACAAAAAAAGTTTAAGTTTATGTATTTTACTAAGGTAAGAATTTTAATTGATTCTGTTCTATTGCATTTCATGATCATTTACTCTTTATATAGAATTAAAAGTTAGTTTATTAATATTTCAATATATTAATACAATGAATGAATTTGGTTAAGTTTTGTTGAGAAGTATTCATGTAATGATTAAAATTTATCGGAAACTTTCTGGTAAATAAACACTTAAATGTACAAAAGACAGAGCTTATAAAGAAATTTCCAATTTAATGTATATGTTAGCATAATACTGACAAAAAGTGCTAAGGCTTAGGAATCCTAAGCGATGTGACTTACATTTTACAATGACTCAATATTATTATTTTTAATTTTCCCTAAAACTTCTATGTTTAATTCTTAGTTGAAACTATATAATTTTTTATGCTTCTGTGGATTCTGAAATTTTTACACAAGTTTTGTCAACTTTGAAAAACTAGGGGATCTTTGATAATAAGTAACTGACATTATTTGTGTATCTTGAATGGTTAGCTCTTTGAACTTTTGCTTGAACTCCAAAGACAACAAACTAATAAATATATTGAGTTTACGAACCATCTAGGAGGACCAATTCTCTTACATGGTTTTTTACAATTTTCAAAAGTTGTAGTAAAATAGTTGGATGTTAAACAGAAACTAGTGTTGGGGTGACATCCTAAATGAGTGTATATGTAACTAGATAGCTCTGTACAGAAATATCTAACTGATGAATGCAGTTGGTGTATTGATCATGTATTCCTAAAGCATTAGAGGATGTACAGTCATTTGCTATCACTTTGCGTTTATGGGGATCATCATAACCTAAAATAATCTGAAAAGGGCCCAAGCAAAAAAAAAAAAAGGGGGGGGGGTGAGAATCTCTGTTCTAAGACAATACGATTAGGCCTATTACATTTGAGCCCTACATTCTTTTCTCAGTCCTTTAGGGCTCTTCAAGAAAATGAAGAATGTTAAATATTATTTCATTATTTCAATCACACTATCTATGCCATACACACTACCGCCGGCACTTGTCACTGAATAAAAAACTCATCAGACTGGCTGAGATACAATAAAGACAAGACAGTGGTGGTTTGAACACTAGTTATAAGCTGTTTGTTGCAACATTTGCTATAGCGTGAACGCCTTTTCTAAGATGACAAAGCGTGATTACAATTAATTATATTTATCATAAAATATTAGTGTTAAGCCTATTATATTTTAAACACTACATTATTTTCTCAGTTAATAGAGTTTTTCAAAAAGAAGAAAATATATAATAGTATTTCAAACACACTATATCAATAGGTTGTAGTGTTAAAATGTAATATGTCTAATACTAATGTCTTATGACATGCATAATTAATTATAATCATGCTTCGCCAACTTAAAAAAGGCATTCACACAATAGCAGTTGTGCATGTCCTAGTTAAGTCGCTTATTTAGTGTTCGATTGAGTTCAATCAGTAATTCGATTTTATTTCCTTGTGGTATTCCTCAGTTAACTAATAATAGCAGTTTAACACCATAATTGTTGATGTTTCACGGATTTGGCCAGAACGCCAATAACAAAAGAGATGTGGTCAGTGAAACGAAATGGACCTGTCATTAGTAGAAAAAAAAAGCTCTGAGAAATCGGATTCATATATAAAATAAAACAAAAATTTATTCTTCAGTTCCATCGAACACTATAAGACTCAGTAAATAATTCAAGATGATCTGACAGTTTATGCCTTTCTAAACGTTTGCCTTTACCCTATTCAATGCGACTCCCTCTTCCTTAATTGGTGTTCGACGACACAATATGTTACAGAAAAAAAAAACACATGTAGTAGTCAGTGTAGCTGTTCCAAATTTTGGGTCGGCGATCTCAGGGAGGTCACCAATGAGAAGACAGAAAGATAGTCTAGAATAGTGACAGTAAGGTAGGCCTACCCTGCCTAATTTACCAGTTAGAAGTGGCCAAAGTGTACTTTAAAGTTAAACCAAAACTCAGCAACACGCTTAATATACTTGAATTTTATATTACATATTCTATTAGTTATATTTTATGTGCTATTAGTTTTGGTAAATACATTGCAGATAGTGGCGTAAATATCCCCTCGCAATTGCAGGGGGGTGGTGGCGTGCCAAGAAGGGGACCTGAAGGGCGTGGCAAACTTAAGAAAATTGCCGACAAGGGGAGAAACATACAGTTTAATTTGTTTGAACTAAAATAACGGCGATTGCACTATTCTGCAAGTTAATGCTATCAATCAGCCAGAATCGTAGCTACAATTAAAGGAAAATAAATGTAGAGGCTCAATTACTTCTTATGCAAGGGGCCCATCTTCTGTAGTTACACCACAGATATTTTTAGTTAACATTTTGAATATGGGATAAGATCACGAGTACCAATTTTAACATTATAAAGTTTGCTTTTGTTTTCTTACAACTTTAATTCTAGCATTATACAACCTTAGATCTGTCCCGTAAACAACGTGTATAAAGAGCGTTTGAACAAAGAAATTGTTCGTTACAACTCAGATGGCATAACAACGTGTCGAGTAAAAGGTAATGGCGCACAACAAATTATGGGTATTTGAAATTTTATTATTCATTCGCTTTTGATGGAGCCTCCCATTGGCACAGCGGTATGTCTGCGGACTTACAACGCTAGAAACCGGATTTCGATACCCGTGATGAACAGAGCACAGATAGCCCATTGTGCTTAAACTACAATCAAACAAACTTTGATGGAACCCCGTACTGTCCATTAACAATAATGTGACTGAGGTTCTCTACTATGATGTAGCATGAGACCTAACAAAGTACATAGTATATTGTCCAGAATGTGGTTAGTTACCGAGAATAGTGAATTTTGCTTTAACTGTACGTTCCATCCTTGCGTTATAAAAAAAAATCTTGTAACCTATAGTTGTTATTCCATAATACTAAAGCCATATCGATTAATTCTGGCGTAGGAATGTGAACCTGAGATCCCATGGTTCTTACTCCGTAACTGCAAAAAAAACTGCCTTGGTGACGTATGTTTGTTATAACAGTTGCTGTCAAATCACACTATTTGAACTAGAGATAACCCCCAAGAGTAGCTTTGCGCGAGTTACCAAACAAACAAAAGCGGTAGTTACTATTTCCACGAAATTTAGTTGGAGTTTTAAGTACTGATGCGAACACGGATATTCACTTGAAACTCCATATAAAATGTTAGTTATAAAGATGAAGCCCACCAGTGGCACTGCGGTATGTCTGCGGACTTACAACGCTAGAAACCAGGTTTCGATATCCCTGGTGGGCAGAGCATGGATAGCCTATTGTGTAGCTTTGTGTTTAACTTCAAACAACAACTAAAGATGAACTAGGAAGTTGGTGACTTGCCACACTGCCAGTTTTTATTTTAATAAAATTAATTATCTTCATTTTGTGATATAATTTTTGTTTAATTTTGAAAAAGAAACCTAATCAAAATTTATACTGTTTAGTGTTTTGATCCTAATATATTTTTGTTAAATATCCATATTAAATAACACAACAAAGATCAAACCGGGCATAGCCTAGTGGTTAGCGTGTCGAGATATGAATCGAAGAATCCAGAGTTCAAGACGTAATGACGCTGAATCTATTTGTGCTATCAGCTGTGAGCGCGTGATAAAAGTGGCAGTTAATCCCATTATTCAGTTCGAACAACTGGACAGAGCACTTGTGGCGACAGGAGGTGCTGGTTGCCTGCCTTTCCCTCTTGTCAGTAGTTCAGAGCAGGAGGGTCTCTGACCTGGCAGTTTAACTCAAGTGCGTTTTTCATGTTGAAAATTCTAATTCCAACTTCAAAGATCACCTAAAATGTGAAACAACTATTTCAACCAGTATTTCAAGATCAATTACTTTTCGGAAAGCGTCACAATAATACGAGTAAAAATGTTATAATAGTTTATTTTAATAAGCAAGATGTGGATATGAAATATTCTGCAATTTATCTGTTAGAATAAGCTTGTTTTGGTTTTAGCACAAAGCTATACCATAGGCCGTCTGTGCTTTGTTCACAGCAGTGGTTCCCTGATGGCTCAGCGGATAGTCTGTGGGCTCGTTAACGCTAAAAATCGGGTTTCGATATCTGCGATGAAAAGAACACAGATAGCCAATTGTGTAGCTAACTTTGCTCTTAACAACAAACTTTTCACAACGAGGAACCAAACTCTGTATTAAAATAAGAATAAATTAAAACAAGATACTTAAATGTACTTCAAAATAGTCAAGTACACCCCCTGTCTGAGTCCTTCCCACAACACTCTACTAGGATTCGAAAATTAACTAACATTTACGTAATTTGTGAATAGTTATTTTACAGTTCTGTGTAAAATATCTGTATGGATATGTATATGAAGCATTCAAAAATTCGAATAGAACCAAAACAGAATATATTACATAAAGCAAATCATTGCCAAATATCTAGAAGAATTTTTCCATTGTGCCTTCGCTTAAATTTCTTTTTTACTCTTTTCAGATACACAACGTTTTTTTCTAACTTACCTTGGCGCCTTCAATTCTTCACTGGGAACAGAACGTGTTAAAAACGTAGTTGACAATGCCAAGGTTTTTCAAGTTCGTAATGTGTTGATTGCAAAGAAATGTCGTTGTCGTGGTAACACCAACGATACTCCGAGCACGTGATTTCATTCGAGCTATTGCGTCATACACTACTCTCACTTGCTGTTATAGATAAAATAAAGATACTGTAACCCACAGCTATAAAGTATTAGTAACCAAGGGTAGTTCAAAAACTTAAGATGCAATTTATATTCGAGTTCGAGAATGTATATAAGATATTTTGTTTTTATGTAAAAAACAAAGTTTTGTCGATCATTGAAGCTGTAATCTTCAGGGCTTATAGCTTTTAAGTGCTGAATTAGATCCCCACTCTTATCACAGTACAGATAGCCCAGTGTAAATCTATGTCAGAGATCTCTTGGGTTCAGTCACAGACATCTTTAATTTTGAATTGCTAACTAGATGAATGACAACCAATCAACAGCACTCGCCGTCTATGCAGCTGTTTTGTAACCATACAGCAGGATTAACCGTTACAGTTATACCGTCCCAGCCTCTTAAGATGCAGAGTATGCTTCAAGCAGTGTATCGCAGCTCGAACGTCGGAGCTGACGTCCTGCAGCCCGGCAAGCTAACCACTAGATCACGTCTGGTATCAGGCAACATAAATCATTACTAATGTATATTGTTACAGTTAGGACCTATTCATGCATGGTGGTGTTGTAACCAACCATCTGTATAACTCGTGGAGATTCAAAGCACTTATATTTTAATGTATAAACTAAAGGTATGGCGATACAGAGATACGATGTGAGTATCGTATCGTGAAGCCGTGATAGGATTGTATCAATACATCGTCCGATACGATTTATGTACCTTCACGAAATTTGGCAAGCTTTCAGTAAACATTATAAGTATTTTGTACAGAAAAAATCAGAACTTCTAATAAAGTATTTTTTGCTAAAATTAATGATTTAATAAAGGAAGATGAGTATTGAGTACTACATGTTGTCTTCATTCCCTTTATCAAAAACGTCACATGCAAAGTAACATAACAAATTAACAATAACAAAATAGATAAGACAGATATTAACTTATTTTATTGTACTTCTCTTGCCAGCTGCCATTTAATTGATCAAACCTGAGTGGGAAGTTATATATACCATCACTTTATCTTTTCAATGCACTTCATTTGAGGTATAAAACCTGATGAAAATAGCCTGATGTTTTCGGAATAAGGTAAAAGCTACTTTCTTCGAAACACCCTGCGATACCAGTAGCAACTGGACGCATTCCGAACCTTCGTTTTAGCTTATTGAGCTAGCTATTGGTTGAATTTCGCTGTCACGTGCAGCTATGGTTAAAACTGAAACAAAGCAGTTTATGTGTAAGAAACATTTTTAGTTCCAAACAATAAAACGGTATTTAATCATAATATATAAAAAATCGTGAATATCTATATATATACTGAAAAACGTGTCATTCACAAATATCTAAAATAACATAATTTTATTTTCCATGAAAGTTTTATTGTGAGGATAACAGACCGAGAAATATGTGTATCAATTTAACCAGTTCGTGATGCGTTATGTACAGGTGATGTTAAGATTATATTTGTATAGGTTTCACTATATTTGTTTTACATATATTGTAAGATATATATATATATATATATCCACGTATTTTATTTTGGGGCAGGACGCGACTTAGTGGTTAATGTGACTATGAATTTGGTGATTCAAGTTCGCGATCCCTTGCTGCAGACATGCTCTCAGCACTTTGAGGTCGTGTGTGCGTTAGTTATAAGAATGACGATAAAATACCACTATTCGATTAGAGTAATCCAAGAGTTAGCGGTGTATACTGTTGACTAGCTTCTTTGCCTTTAACCACTCGAAATTAGGACGGCTATGTGCATACAGCCCTTGTGTAGCTATGCGTGAAAAAAAAAAAAAGAAAGAAAATGGCGTTGTTTCAAAATTAGCTGACTTCACTGTTTGTATAGAGAAATGAAGCAATTCCGAAACAAATAGTTTCCGTCATATAAACCTATGGAGATAACTCTTACCGGAAAGTACAAACATGACAGATATTTTAATCACTGCGAATACACAAACAACTACAAAGTTGTCATAAAAGCCTCAGAGAATTTTATAACGTTTTATCTTTTGTTATTTCACAGAACAGTCAAATACACTTGTATTAATTACTTCTAGAGCTCAGAACTCCAGAAACCACCATTTACTCATGAGCTTCTAATTTTAGATTTTTTGAACGAGGTACTAGCTAACCTTAACAACATTGTATCATTCATCAACAAAGTAGGGAGTTCTATCACACCAACTACTGTTTCGTAAAACGTTTAATAAATCCTTTTTTTTGAAACCCGTATAGACCAACGGTATGATTACAAAATTAACAACGTTAAAATCTGGAGTTCAATTCAACACGATGGACAGAGCGCAGATATGAAATATTGTAGCTTTACGCTAAAAAACAAAAAACATACATATTTTCCTGAAACATTTTAACATTTTATGGTGAAACCTGTAGTACAACAGTTGAAACATTTTATGGTGAAACCTGTAGTACAACAGTTGAACCATTTTATGGTGAAACCTGTAGTACAACAGTTGAAACATTTTATGGTGAAACCTGTAGTACAGCAGTTGAAACATTTTATGGTGAAACCTGTAGTACAACAGTTGAAACTTTCTTTTTTGTTAAGTATATATATTTATACACAAACTTGACTCTTCTGATAAAAATATATTAGCTACATAATAGATAATCTTAATTTCATTAATTTGAAGCTTAACCTCTTAATCAATTAATTAAGCCTTTTTTAATGTTATTTGTTTCCATAATACTGAAATGATCTTTCGTCGTTTCTACGTTGCACATACTCTTGGCATGTTCTTTTATACGTGATTTGTTGTCACTCCAATTTTAGAACATGATATTTTTCCAGTTTTAGTTGTGTTACTTAATAAACTATAGCAAGTAATTTTAGTTATGGTATGTGTATGTACTGTGATCAAATATGTTGTGCTTTATTTCAATATGTACGTTTTGATATTTAAGATTTTAAGTGATTATAATGTTAATCGTGATACGTAATTTGGATTATCATTTTTCTTGTGGTTAATTTTATTGTCAGTAAGATGTCCTAAACATACACCTATCACGACAGTTGTTTAAAAAAAATGGATACGGATTTTTGGCATATTAATCGCAACTAAGGAAAATTGTTTGTTTTTAATTTCGCGCAAAGCTACAGGAGGGCTATCTGCGCTAGCCGTTCCTAATTCAGCAGTGTAAGACTAGAGGGAAGGCAGCTAGTCATCACCACCCACCGCCAACTCTTGGGCTACTGTTTTACCAACGAATAGTGGAATTGACCGTCACTTTATACCGCCCCCACGGCTGAAAGGGCGAGCATGTTCGGTGTGACCCGCGACCCTCAGATTGCGAGTCGAGTGCCTTAACCCTTAGGCCATGCCGGGCCTAAGGAAAATTGAAACTTTGTATGTTAAACTTTATAAAAACCATTTATAAATTGCTGGATGAGCGTAAATATCTAAGGGATTTTCTGAAGTTTGTTGGTTTTAAAGTTTATACCAGGCAGTTTAATTATACTAGACAATTTCAACAATATAGAAAACAGCTATCAAATTTTGAAATTTTTTATCATAAAAATAAGGCGTACAAATCCTCTAAAGGTCAGATTGGAGGAGCCTGTTTCATTCTTAAATAGAACGACAAAACCTTGTCGAAACGTTGTACATTTG